CGTTGGTGTAGGGTTTTTAATGGTGTTTTACTTGTTTTATTTATATATAAATATTTTGACCAAATGATGAAATGAAAAACTATGTTTGGCTTCGAAGACGAGTTTACAAATTAAAAATTCGTAAAAATTGGCTTTGTGATCCAAAAGCGATCTATTTCTATATTTTTTATATAGTGTGATATTTGTATATTCTTCGTATATTTTCAAAATTTTTCAAAATAAAAATAAAAATTTTCACTAATGAAGAAATGTTTCCTTTCGAGCCGATGTTACTAAATAGAGACTACTTTATGTATGTGTTAGGGAGTCATAACGTCTAACGTCAAGCAACTTAGACATTCCTAACATGTTTTCATTTTTTTAAAAATTTTTGTTTTATAAGCATTTGCTTTACGTATTTTTTTTTTTTTTTTTTTTTATAAATTAAAACAAATAATTTGTATTTATTACTATTTTTAATAAAATTACTTTAATTATTCTTAGAAATTAAATCGTTAAGAAATCAGTTGAAGATTGCTTTAGTAAAGCAAATATTTCAAATATTTAAACAATTTTTTACATTAAATATTATTTTATTTAAAATTTTACTCAAACAATATTTGAAGAGTTAAAACACTTCTCTAAGGCCAATCAACGCTGTGTTGCATACTAAACCGTGAACAGGATTGAAGCATTTATTGTATTCTAAGTCAGCTGCGCATTCGATTAAAACTTAATATATCACAAATGGGTCTTCTATGGAAACGATAAGAAAAAAACAGTTGAGAGAAAAATGTGTAACAAAATGTGGAGAATATTTATTGATCATAAGCCCTTAATAATTAAATAAGTTTCGCTTTACATAAATTTTCTCACAAACGATGAGATGAGAGTTGAAGGCATAAATTCTTGTAATATTTATATAATTCTTTGGTCTAAGTGGTTTAATAAAAGTGTGATTTCAAACCTTTTGAATCTAAAAAGAAAAATCCCAGACTCCGTCATCATCATTCAAACTAATAATCCCCTTTTTTAAAGTAAAAAACATGATTCATTTAGAAATCACAGTATCAGCCTAAGGAGAACGGACTGTTTTCACATCACCACAGCGAGCCATTCTCATGAGATATATATTTAACTTATAAGGCTCTATGATATGCAATGTAAGAAATCACTTAATTCTTTCGCGCCGGTGCGCCAATATTACACTTTGCCGGCTTTCAAGTCGATGCGAACCACGCTTCACCGCAAATGTATGCTTGCGTTACACCATTGCACATACATTGTTCGCTAACTTGTGTATCGCATTTTGTGCTTTGTTTATTGCTTTATTTTGTGTATTTTGTGTACGCTTTTGAAATCGAGCAATAACATAATTAATTAAACCAATAAACAATTACTGTATAAAGACGGCGTCAGGGGCTGTGATGCACGGCACACGTCGCGAAAGAGGTTAGCTTACATACCTATAGATAATGAAACACGCACGAGGAGAATGAAAAAGTTAAGTTTTTCACTGAAAAAAGAGCAATCTTTCGTTAGTGCTTGTCCCAGTGCTTCACTGCGAAATATCATTTTGGAGACATAGTGTGCCATTAGAATGACAAAAATGAAAATTGGTGGCATATGCTCCGGATATAGTATTATATATCCTATAATTAATTTTTACTTCTAAGTCACAATACCAGGATCATAAAAATGCCCATTCGCGGTCGAAAATTCTATCCTTTTCTTCTGCAAAGATTTTTATGCTAGAGTGCAACTTTTTTGCTCCGGCTGTCAAGGAGAGACACTAACGTTTTCTGCTTTACACATAAAGAAACGGCACAATTCATAATCCAAGTCTGCTTTAAATTATTTTGTAATATGAAAGCGATAGCATATGCTCGGTCCTTTGTCAGTGGGAATTAAGCAAAAAAATATTTCCTGCAGATTTTAAGTGTTTCAATACATTTACAAACTTGGTGGGTTAAGAACATATGAACTCTGAAATTTTCCAGGCCAGATTCTAGATTAGATTAGCTTACAGATCAGCTGAATCCCACGAAACATGTGTCCACTTTTACACTCTTAGATCAAAACTCATCTATGTTACAACAAAGGTGACAAAAGAGTTAAGAATTTTAATCTAAATTACATACGCATAGGGGATGTTCTTACATAAGTTTTTTGCTCCCAATATCTATCTCTACACTTACGATACCGATTAAAAGGGGATAACGTTAGTGCAAATCATTACAACGAAAGCATTACTTTTCGCATACTTGTTGCTTTTATATATTATGGAATTACTTTTTTATGGTCTCTAAGATACCGACATGTTGGCCGCATAAAAAATGTGAATTTTCTCACGCTATCTTTAATGTCCTGCGCCCACGTAAATTTTATACAAACTTTTGGAAAAATGTAAAAATTTGTCTTTTGCATTACATTTGTTGCAAAATATTTTTGAATTTCAACCAAGCCGTTGATTTATTTCCTCAAAGTGAGTTTAAAGCTATTAACTATCGCAACATATAAAATGATAATAGTGCCCAAAAAAGTGCTTACATTATCTGATATCGGAATGACTTAAAATTTTTTCAACAGTCAACCATTTATTTCTTCATTTTATGGCCAAAAAAAAATTTACATCCACAACGAAATCTCAAACTACATCAAGTTTAACGATACTAAACTTTTCTAATTTTGCTCTTTCATATAAATTTAAATGTAAATATAAATATATATATATATATATAATGGTATATAGTATAAGATGTATAAGCGAGAAACGCTTCAAAATAGTTTTGTAAAAGGAAAACGTAAGAAAATTATCTATTGATAAAAGATTTTAATCTTTATGTGAAAAACAACATGTAATTTGTTGCTGCGGTTGTTTCTTTCGTTATCTTGATCAATTTTCTTTAAAAGTACATTACATACAAACATATGTGAAAGATTTGACTCTCTCGATAACCGGTGCTACTAACACATAATAATAATCTTATGGTATAATGAAACCACTATTTACCAACGCACACTATTTACCTGTATATTCGTTTACGATTATTTGATGGGTGTTTGTACACCTGCTACGTATGGGCTGAAATATTCGAAGATGTTATTGTGATTGACTTTTGTGATAATACCAGCGGTATTAGCCGCTTTGACCTCATTAAACGTGATTTTTCAAAATTAAATAAATAAAATTAATTCAAATTATAACAAAAAAAAAAGAATTCTTCTATAATTCATTCATTCGTGATTCACACGTTCGATATACAAAAATTTTGGTTTCATAAATCATAAATCCTTGAAACTATTTCAAATAAGTAGCTTCTCGGAGGGCATATCAAAACAATTCCTGCACCCAAGTATAAGGTAAAGTTTTATAGGAAGTATACGCGTATTTGTTATATCTAATACAAACACTGTGTGCATATTAATTTAGGGGAATTGAATTCGGCTTCACTTTGTTGATAACTTACAAGAGTTCTTTAACCATACTGCCCTGCCAGCAGTGAGCTTTCTCATTGTAACTGAGGTCGCTATTTTCATTTCGAACGTTCATGAACACTATCCCCTTACTTCAGTCCTCTTTTTCTTCCCTTCCCTTCCTGAGACCCACCGCGCCCGCAAGTATAGGCAACATATCCTGAGTGCCTTGTTATTAAGAAAACCACGAGTAGTTTGGATTTCCAATATTGACAAACCTGAGATCATTATATAAATGTAAATAATATTAAAATATAAAAAATAAGCTGTAAGTTGTTAAATAAGCATTTGTGAGGCGGGTAGTTGAATTGCAAGATGGACCTAGGAAGAATATTTAGCAATTTTTGGTCAAATTTTTGCAAAGGCTCTAATAAAATGAAAATTTTTTAGAATATAGCGCTAGGTATAAAAGACTTAGCCACGGCTAGAACTACTTGTTTCTCTTTTTAGTTACCCATGAACTGCTGCCTTCACACTCGCTATACTATGACTTGATAGTGGTAATGCTGCCGAAATCACGCGAACATTCCCTTGACCCAATACCAAGCAAACGAAAAAACAGTTTGACCGACAGGCATCCCTACAACTGCTAATTATTTTATGTTATCCATATTACTTTATGTTATCCATAGCTCCCTGTCTTTGGAATGTTTGCTGCGTATTTTTGCTAATAAAAATAAAGACAAATCAAGTATGGAGTTTTATGCTGTTCTTAGGGATGATACAATCAACTTCAGCACATAACTTAAATAAGAAAAAACTAATTAGTTAAATAACATTAGTAATAACTCTATTAAGGTTCAAAATACAAAAAAAAACCTCCTGTTCACATTGAATCTTTTCTACACAACACAGCAATTCTTCTCTTGTTGATTTGCCGAATTGAAGAAGAAGAAGAATTAAAAATCTAAGTGACGCAGGTCTTTTAAGGCAAAAGTATTTTGTTTTTATAGCCAATCAAATAATTTTTCCTGCTTGTCAAATTCCATACTTATACCGTAAAAATCGAAAGCAATGTTTTTCGTATCACACCTTCTCAATAGGTACAGGCAAGTATTGCCAATGTTAATGGCCATAAACTAATACAAAGGGCATCGTTTTAATTATTGCATCTGTCAATAGTACGGGATTATTGTAAGAATATTCAAGAAATATTAGCAAGTGTTTAAGTTGTCGTCGAAAATTTACTAAAGATAGTGTTCCATAGCAAATGCAAGAGATTTGTAAAGGTTTTACTAGACAAGACAACTACTGCATTTCCTAAATAGCTAGCATATAGTCATAGCACTCAAGTTAAGAGTTAGTGCAGCGTTATCCTCTTACACTCAAGAGAATAAATAAAATAAATTGAATCGTAAAACATTTTGTAAGTAAGCATGAGTGTAAGAGTAATTTTCTCATTGTGGCACTCACTCAAGCGCATATTCCTTAGTTTTAATATGAGGGCAAAATTTTAACTTGACTCGTTTTAAATTTTAGTTGTTGCGTGTTAACCCTTTAATCAACATCGTTAAGTGTGTGTTCATGTTTTTGTATCATTTTAGAGTTGCAAGCGACCATGCGCGCATGGCTTCTACTCCTCGCAGTCCTGGCGACTTTATTAATACGCGTTACAGTTGCCAATCAGAATTTAATTGATGATAATAATATATTAACGTTATTAAATAAAATGAAAAAAAATCCGCCAAAAATTGATCGCTCGAAAATTGTAATACCGGACGAATTATGGGAACAGTATTTAGCGAGAAACAAACAAAAATTCAGACCAAATCCATTAGCAAAAGTTGCTGATACAGTGAGAAGTTTTACACACAAAGGTAAGTAAAAAGTATAAACTAATATATATATATATATATATATATATATGTTAAGCAGTAATCCACAACATTATTTGCCTAGGAATGTTACTAAGTAATATTTGAATTATAACTGTAGATAAAATTCAGTAATGAAAACAGAATTAGTTCTACGTTAGAATGAGATAGCACTAGAGAATAAAATTTAATACATATATATACACTTTGCTAAGTGAGCACTTAAGGATTGCAATTCTTTGCTGTTATTTATTAAATTTAGAGAAGAAAGTACCTGCTTATAACAATTTCAATGCGCAGGTATTTAGCTATGGTAGTGTAGATAATACAGTTGCAAATCAAGAACACGACGAACAAAGAAAGCGAAAAATGTCTCAAATCTATTTAAACAGCAAGCATATTTTTACGACTTAGGTATTTCGTGATTATATTAGGATATCTAAGGAGGAAAATTTCTTTAACAAGTCCATCCACACTCGTAAGGCAGACAACAAAAATAATAATCAATTTTATTTTGCTTTCCTATTTTTTTGTGTGTTTTCTAGAAAGTAAAATAGATGATCGTTTTCCTCATCATCATCGATATCGTTTATATTTCGATGTTAAAAGCATTTCCGACGATGGCGAGAAGCTGAAAGCTGCTGAATTGAAGTTATCACGTGACGCCATCAGCGATGCTTCATGGCCTACTAGTCGGCATCGCGATCGAGATCGTTACCAAGTTCTGGTTTACGATATAATGCGCTTGGGTGTAAAGGGCGTCCGTTCACCGCATTATTGGCTTATAGAAAATCGAACGGTTTGGTTAAATAGCACGGAAAAGGTCAGCTTAGATGTAAGCCCAGCGGTTGATCGATGGCTAAGTGCACCGAACAGAAATTATGGTTTGCTAATTGAGGTGCGAACAGCTGAACATTTAGAACCAGCACCGCATCATCATGTACGTTTGCGACGCAGTACAGACGAACAAGATCACGTATGGCGGCATAAGCAACCTGTACTGATGACCTATACGGATGATGGTAAACACAAATCACGGCCGAAGAGAGGAAGGCCAAGCCGAAGGAAAAATCACAATGAATCTTGTAGTCGTCATCCGTTGTACGTTGACTTTGGCGATGTAGGCTGGAGTGATTGGATTGTTGCACCGTCCGGTTATGATGCTTTCTATTGTCATGGCAATTGTCCATTTCCGTTGGCGGACCATTTTAACTCGACCAATCATGCTGTGGTACAAACCATGGTTAATGCCCAAAATCCTGGAAAAGTGCCGAAAGCGTGCTGCGTACCTGTCGAATTAGAGGGCATTGCGATGCTTTATGTAACGGATAAAAATACGGTAGTACTCAAGAACTATCAGGATATGACAGTCGTGGGTTGTGGTTGCCGGTAAAATTGGGCATTTAACGGTTGGTACCGTGTTCGCCAAATAAAGAAAACGGCTTTTTTCTGACAATTCCAAAGCGTTCTCTTACGTTAGCTCAAGCTCATAGCCGCAGTGTTAACTATGAACACCAACTTGCACCAATATCTGGCGTCTCTGATCCTAGGCATTTGTTGTTGATGAGAACGAGAGCTGATGATGAAAGCGCAAAGTGTATGATAACAATAAAATAAGCGCGTTACCTGACATGTGTTGCATGTGTATGTTTATGAATGTATGAATGTGTGAGTGTTTGCATATAAGTTATAGATTTATTGTGTATATAGTATTTTAAAAATGTGTGGCGTGTGCGTATTCAGGGTTGTGTGTTTGTGTATGCCGCCAAGTCAGAGAATTACATGTTACTAAGAAAGTACAACAAAACTATTTTCGGCACTATTTAGCCTGTGATGCGGGCCTTACATTAAAAATGTAATTAAATAACTGTAAATAGCATTACGCAGCTCAAAGCAGGTAACATTTTCCTTCAGACAGTGCTTCGCAGGTAACTAACTAACTAACTAACTGCTCGCACTATTACTGAGTTTTTAGTTAATTCTCTGATTAGGCGCAAAACTTGAGTCTACTTAAGAGATCATTGTATGTTATAAATGCAAAGGCTGTCCGGGCCTCAATAATGCTTTAATAAGTTTTAGTGTTCTATTTGTTTATAAACTAATGTTGTTTTTTAAATTAATGCGTAAATAGTTTCTTTTTTTTTTTCTTTTTTACAATTATATGCAAAAACAAAAGAAAACACGCGCAATCTAAATGGACTGAATTATTAAATTTTTATTTCTTTGATTTTTTTTTTTTGAGTTTTTTTAAGTATAAACTTTGTTTTGTTTTAAGTTGTTTCAATTTTTGAATTTTGTGTGCTGACTTAAATAAATTCATTAAAAATGACAAATATATTAACATAGATAGGTTGTCATTTTGTGAAAAGCAGTACTTGTCTAAGGAGGAAAAACATGAACATGGAAAACGACAAACATCCGAGCTTAAAACTCTTCAAGTATTTAACAAATATCCCCTAATCGGTTAAAGAACAGAATAATAAAAAAGAAAAATAGCGAAGAAAGTAAGGGAAAGGAAAAGTGCAGAATGCAAAAGCCAATCCGTGTTTGTTTGTACACGTGTACTTTTTACTTTAGTGCCATTATACATTCATTTTCATCGATCAAAGCTAACGCTTTACCTTAAAACATTGGTTTTTTTTTTTTTTTTGTTTTGCTTTGAATATTCAAAATTTTCATCGAAAATTTATTATTGTATTCCATCCGTTTGTACATGATTAGCATATATATATATATATATATATATATATTAGATAACAACATCCAGCCAGCGAAATTCTCCTAAGCCGATACTCAATACATTGCGTCGCCATTTTATTTTATTTTTTTATGCATATCTCTGTATAATGAATTTTGTAAATCTTTAATTAACTGCTAGTTTCTAGTTAATGTTATTTTAAGGAATTTAAAAAATATTAATAATAATAGTGAATGTGTATATGTTAAATGCGTATGTATATGTATGAGTTTTTATTTTTATTTTTTTTTCAATTAAGATCGAAATATTGTATTTCGTTTTTTTTTTTTTTTCTTTTTAGATTATAATTCCATTAAGCTCAAAGAAATCCTTAATTATTTAAGGATCTGTATTGTATATGTAATGTAATTCCCCTTTCTATCCGCCCCTTCATATTCCTCGCTAGCTCTTTCGATCTCTCCCCATATATTTTTTTTCTTCTCTTTCTCTCTCTCTTTCTCATTTATCCTCGTATAATATCCATCCATTATATAATCTGAAATTAATATATCTATATATCTATGTATATAAGATATCAATCATACTTGTACGCTATATTAAATACTCATCTTCCCTAAAAAACATTTAAAAAAAAAAAAAAAAAAACCCATATTGTTTTCAACACTTACTCTAATTTTTAATTTTTTTGTTGTAAGCGTTTGTAAATTTCTTTTCCACGTTTTGTTTAATTTATTTAAAAATAGCATAAAAAAAAGAATTTTTTGTCATATTTTTAAGAATTTTCAAATTGAAAAACATTCTGTGAAAACAATGAAAAAGTGAATGAAAATATTAAAAAAAAGAAAAAAGCAAAAACAACGAATAAAGAAAAGAAAAATTTTTATAAAACATGGATTTTAGTTTCATTACCGAAAGGTTTACGACCAGAATTTCTCTTCTTTTTCTTTCAAGGAGTTCAGAAAGACCCACTCTTTTTATACCAATTAACTCGCAATCATTTTTTGAATCGATTTACGTCATGTCTGTCTGTCTGTCCATTTATGCGCCTTGTTTTCATGCGTTCACTCTCCCGATCGTTGTTTGTGAGATATTTTGATGAAATTTGATACACTGGTGTGTTTTGGCCCAAGGACGCACGAACATTATTAACTATCCCGACCATTTGCCATATAACGTCCCATTTTGATAAGTCGTTATACGAATATGTGTAAGGTGGTGTGGGATATTTAAAGTGTTTTTATATACATATATATACATTTTTTTTTTGCAAGGATATTCTTTATTTTTCCGTCGGATACGTACTAAGTTTGTAGAAGATTTTATAGGACGGTATTTGAATATAAGATAGTACATCATTTAGTGAAAGTTTACAAGTACAAGTTTAGTGAAATTGATTGAAGTCATTTTTCTTTTTTCTCAATAAATAAAAGTTTGAACTGCTAAAAAATATCTTATTATGCTCTGCTATTACAAGATGAGGAACAATTGGAGTCATTTAAATTGCAGGAAAGGCGGCACAAGAGAGACATTCGATTTCAACGCCAAGATCTATGGAGCCGAACATTGGTAGGAAAGAGAAAGAGTGTAACTTTCATTTAAAGATATATGCGAATGAAAGAAAGATTTCGAATAAATCCGAGAACATATATGTATGTTAAACCAATCGTTTGGCAATTTTCAGCGAAAGACATTTGAGAGTTATGAAAAGAGACGTGCATAAGGGTAAAGAGTACAAGTTCCGTAGCCTTTTTACATGTTGAACACATTAATATATTATAATTTGTCCCAAATATAGCCAGCCATGTCGCTGTTGAACATTTTGGATTGGCGTAAACATGACGCTATCATAATGAAGAACCTAACGTGCAGCGAGGCTTTTTTGCTTATAATTGCGGGAAAACGTCACATTTGAAATCTTCCTTATTAAAATCATTTTTGCTCTGCTTGCTGTGATTAAGGGCGCTATGATCGATCGACTTCATTCTTTGAGTCCACATAAACTATGAACATCTGGAATTTCCAAATTTATACAAATAAACCGCAAATAGTTAATCGGTTGAGCATTGGAAAGCATCAATCATTGTTAGAACAGAATCGCTTCGATTAGAAAATATATAAACGAAAAAGAGAAAAATATATGTAGACAATGGATAAATGCAAAGATCATGTAATCAAAACAATTGCATAACTAACTAAACACGTTTATGTCTACATTTATTGCTGCTCAACTATTTATACTGGTATTTGAATTTGGGGGATGTCTAATGGAAAGCAACAAAAACCAAAATTAAAGTCGTTTGGGAAGTGCAACCTTTCAAGCGAAAGTTATATATATATGTATATATTCATGTAACTACAAATTTCAAGCGCACAATGAAATAAAAAATTTAAATAAATTAAAATTTATTGAAAAAAAGAATTTTCGACGTCATTCAATTTAATGAATGGTACGAATTTTCGGTCAATATTTGCTAAGGATAGAATAATTATTTTCCACATTCTCCGCACAATTGTATAAATGAGATAGAGAGAGAGAGAGAGAGAGTGAGAGATTTTATCCAGTTTGTAAAGATCTTACGCATATAAAAGTATGTATTTATTTTTCTAATACCTCAGAAACAAGTGCTGCTACAAAATTTTGTTTAAGCTACAAAAACAACGTTAAGGCAAAGCAAACACATAGTAAGCGCATCCAGGAATTTTGAGATTAAATATCACTTAAATATGTTTAGCTGCCTGTTCGACTAATAATTATTTTATCCTTCAAAACGATCTTTAACAACTAATTGAAGCGTTAGTTCAACAAGGACAAAGCAAATCAAAAGGAAAAAAGGTGAAAACCTTTAAATCAGGAATGGCCAGCAACAAAACGAAGCGATAACGCATTGTTTGCAATAAATAAATACAATTCAGTTGGGACTCGAAAAAAAGTATTTTACAATCGGTTTTATTCAACTATGCCTCATGGACGCCCCACGCATAGCAGTCTTCTATTTTAAATTGAAATATTAATTGTCTGATATAGCTTTGTTTAACTTTGAGCAGCAAATCAATTCTTCAAAAAGTGCTATCCTATACATTCATTTTCTTCCAATTTGCTCTAATTATTTTGAAAGTTACCTAATTTCGTGAATTCAGGAACAACACCTTACGCTGGCACCACCTATTGCTGGTTTGCCAAGATGCTTCACTAATGTTCTCCCATATGTATATCGCAAGGGAATGTGCCGAAGTCGAGCTATCGCATTGTTGTGTTGCATCTATACGAAAACAAACACCACACAGTGCGCCAAAATTTTAAAGTCAGGAAAATTCATATATAGTAAAACGTTTCCGCTGGTAAAACGCGCCTATAATGACGAGAGTCCAGCTGGTTTATAACTGGTCGTTAAGACCGGAATTATGATCAACCTTCCGCGTGATCGAAATTTGTGATAACGTACGATGTCATCAAAACTGTGCTCTGTCTAATTCGTAAAACCAAAACCATTCGTTGAATTAAATGTCGCCTACGCTCTGTTCCCACAGTTAATCAGGCATACGATCGAGCAAATATGTACATAAAAAATCATACTTCATCATACTACATCAATCGTAATGGTATGCTCTGCTGATATAATGCCATGCGATCATAACCTATTCGAAAAGCTTCGAAGGCATCGAAAAATACAAATTGCTTTGCTTGAAAAGAAACTTGCATCACATTTATTAATTGAAATAACGCGTTTTTCATAAAGTAATGCCTCTCCGTTGCGGTAACTTTGATGCAAATTTGCAAGAGTTATAACTACTTCGATGACAGAGTATCAAAATGCCTTATGAACAGCAATGCGCGCACTTCTTAATAATCCTACGTTGACATGAAACTGCATTGACCGAAAAATAAAATTCACTGACGGGGTGGAACATAGTGTAGGACAACCTAAAGATTTAATGAATATATATCGTTATCGAAACCTTCCAGCTTTTAGGATTTCATAGACAACTTTCATGCAATTTGTTGAGTTTAGACGACACAGGATGTTAACAAAATTGCAAAAGGGCGGGCGAATGAAAAAATTTGATATACGTAGAAGTTGCCCATCTCTGCTCTAGAGTACCTGCTATCACAGCAGTTTCCAATAAAGAGAATTTCCATACGAGAAAGGAATTGTGCGCAGAATGTAAGCCGAAGGTAAGCAATACAAAGTAACATTCGAATGGCAAAGTAGTTGTACTAGTTAAATAGTTTTGAGGGTGTTTATTGTAAATGAAAAGATTTCTCAAGTGGCCATAAATAGTATTTCTATAGCGATTGTCTAAACTCAAGTACCATCTATTGTCCTGTCACAAAAGACACTTGTATATAGAATATTAAGAGGATACGCACAATTTGCTTAAAAAAGATTAAGTAATAAAATCACTTTTTATTTTCGTGACAGTTGTTTCTTCATCATCGAGATTATTTATATTTTATTA